TGCAGCGGCGGGTATGAACGGCGGACGACACGCCGACCTCTCCGTTGGAGCCTCCTTCTCGCGTTCGCTCGGTTGCCTGGAAGAAAATCGCCGCGGAGGTCTGTTAAGGCTCAGATGAATGCGTCGTCGTTATCTTCTGGCAACGACTGGCAGAGATTGCGAAAACCGGTGGCGGCGTGAGCGGACGGTCAGTCGGCGTGCACCGTGCAATTTGTGCGAGTGTTTGACGGTGTTTGTTGTTCGTTTGGGAGAGGGACATTCTTGGTAGATGGATTGCCGCCGGCATGTGACAGCTGTAGAGGGCAGAGGAGATGATCAAATCGGCGGGGATGGTGGCGATTAGCGGGTGAGCTGGACTAAAAGTTTTGACTTTTGGATGTGTGTGAGGGAGATAGGGATGCGGCCGGTATTTTGGGGTTAGGGCGGGGCCCATTTAGTTGGTGGGTGGGTATAGAGATGTTATGGATCTATGGTCCTTGGCCCGACGGGCCAGCCCGTTTAGCCCAGAAAAAAACAGGGTTAGGTCATTTTATTAGTAGCCCGTTTAAATCAGAGCTTTTTAGGCCCGGACCGTTTAGCCCAAAGCCCGCTAGCTCTAGCTCGAAACCCGTCAGGGTTGGCCCGTTTAACTAGGGTTGGACAGTGTAAATGTTTGCATCAAGTAAGTAATATGCTCTTAAATTACTTATATATTACTATTTTGGTATTCCACTTCACATGGAAGTATGAGTTGTAATGAATTATTATGATTTTGAAAGTATTATTAACAATATTGTTATTGTACTTTATACCAAAATATTTAAGTCAATCAGAACGACTAATAGAAAACACATGAAACATAATGCAACCGTTGTTATTTTTTTAATAATTTTTTTACTCTTTTTATTTTTGATATTTTTTATATATTATTATTATTATTAATAATATTATAGCCCGCATAGCCTGTTTAACCCGAAGCCTGCTATGGTTAGGTCCGTTTTTTGGTAGTCCGTTTAAATCCTAGCTTTTTGGTCCGGACCGTTTTACCCGAAGCCCGCTAGGTCTAGCACAAAACTGCTAGGGCTAGCCCGTTTAACATCTCTAATGGTGCATATTGACTATATTACATTATTACCCTTAATTTGGGTTTAAATTAATACATTTGACCATGTTATGCACCCTTATTTACTATATTGCCACTTAATGTTTGACTCCCACGTTATGCACCCTTATTTACTACATTGCCACTTAATGTTTGACTGTTATTATTAAAGTTTGACTAGATCATGACCGTTGACCTGATGGATCTAATGGTACAATTTTTTCTTATTTCTTTCACTATCTACCATTATCATTTGAGCGCACCTCTCTCTCTCTCTCTCTCTCTCTCTCTCTCTCTCTCTCTCTATATATATATATATATATATATATATACACGGTGTGTAAGAAAAAAAAAAGATCACGTCAGTCTACACAATATCAGTATACATAATATCAATAAACATGTACATCTACAAAATAAAATCTGCTATAAAGTTCCGATCGTTTGGAAGACCATATCAGTCCAACAATATCATTACGAAGAACACACCAATCCAACAAATTGAAGAACAATTTCAATTCATGAAGTCTAGTGCGCTTACTCATTTATCAGTTTTGATTCTCAATTATTCGATACGAGTGTTTCTGAGATTAAAACAATGTTTTCATTCGCATAAGGTTAAATCCAACAGTACAATGTAATTCTGCATTCCCAGGATCTTGGTTACAACTTACAACTCACAACCATTTATGAGTTATAGCTAATTACCAAACATGGGCTAGCACTAACCATCCACTGATCCACACACACAAACAAACTAATATAAAAATGAAAACAATATCACCTTGATAGTCTCTTCATAAAATAAACAAAAGTAAGAATAAATCCCCATGTCAAGATTTCAAGACAAACATGACGAAATCAGAAGTAAACCGTGTTTTCCCAATCTTTTATTCAAGTAAAATTTTGAGTAACCAACTAAATTATCTAAAATCTTATGTTTCAAATTTAGGTGGACTCTCGCCACCTGGTCGACCATTCTCGTTCTTACCAATGATGGGTGGCTGGCCGTTAATATCAGATCCGTAAAAACGTGACCCATTTTGAAACGTTTAGTCTCAAGGAATCTCTTGTTGTCCTTTGTGATAGGGGCCACAAGGGGAACCCGGCCATACAGCCAGACCATACACCCATATGGGGTATGATTCACGCTATTTTTACTCGCACAATTGTGCGGTTACAGTTATGGGACAAAAGGAAAACATGGTTAAGGCCATCCCCACCTTACGCCATGGCTCAAACTTACTACCTTATTCTGAACTTTGAACAATCAATAACGTATACATTTAAGGAAAATTTATGAACTATACCATCCAATTTAAGTTTAATTGCAAAATAACCTAACTATCTTCCAATACCACAAACAGTCCCAAGTCCATCAGAACACGTTTAAGAATGAAGATGCAGTTTAACAAAAATAGAAGGATGACACTGTTAAAGAATGTTTTAGTAGGATAACAATATATGTTTGGTAATATGAATTGGTTACTGGTGTTTTTATCAAAACTTTGGCCCAACTGGTGTTTGGGGAGTTTGACAACACTTGATATGATATATAAATTAAACTTACTAAATAGCCTCTTTATCTAAATATGAGGCAGGATAATCAAGCAGGTCCCTATATAATTCCCAAATAAATGGAACCCAAATGATTACATCATTTTAGCCTGGTCTGTGATAATTAATAAGGTGTTCTTTACTTTGCAGGATCTCTATTTTTTCTTAATTTGCCAATTAGGGTAAATTTTAAGAAAAATTTGCACATAGTACACATAGTTGTAATGAAAAAACTTAAAAGTAGCCAATACCTGTGCACCAATTCCATACTATATTGAGTCAACAGGAAAATTGAGCTCCTCGTTTGCCTCAACAGTATCACGCCCATCGTCCTGAAGATTGTACGCCCGAAGCTTATGGCCCAAGACCAATTCCCCTGCCCTTGTGGCCACGGAGATAGACCAGAACACCACTGCCGGCACCTTCTATCTGCTGCATCCCAAGTGCCAGTTCCCGCAGTGGCATCTAGCTGACCCAAATCTGTCTCCAGTCACACTCTGAGTGTACTCTCACGAGGATATCTTAGTTCATCCCCAATTTCACCCTATTTACACCCCATAAAACTAAAATAGTGTCGATCAACCACACCCATGCACACCTTAGGACCAATATCAAATTTTCTGTTCATCGAAAACAAAAGGCGACCCACGAGCATAATTATGCGATGTCCCTACCTCATAGTGACCGTAAACAACGTTTGAATGAGTTTTCTATCACCGCGAAAAAAGAAGAAAATAAAAGGTAAAAGAGAGTTCTCTCTCTAACTTATAATGAACTAAAACATGTAGGATAAACCATTTATCCACATGTATTGGCTTAAATACAAATGAAAACTCACGAAATTGGGACTGGGAACTAAGGGCTTAAATGCAACACATTTGTTTATATGTAACATCAAGACTAAAACGACTTACAGAATAGTGACCTTCTTCAGGTGTTTGAATATGAAGAAAATTCTGCTAATAATTTTACTGACAGATAAAGCATACAACATACAGCAGTAACTACATCTTCCCTTTTCTTCCCTCTTTCATCAAATTCAGTTGGTGAAAATTTGTCATTGCGTAAATTTATCAAATATGAAATATACAGAGGCAGCAAAAGTCAAAGACAGTAAATAAAATCGACACACAATTAAGTACCCTAACACCATAGAATCTTGAGCATACCGGAATTTTTTTGGGGGCTGACTTTCTCTGATCCCTGCCCGATTACCCTCACCAAATAAAAATGCAATATTTATCACCTGGTTGATAATCCTATGGGAGTCGGCCGATTTTGTGGTTGATCGACGGAGGACGCTACGGATGTGATTTGGCGATTCGGAATTTATAATTGTTCTGGAATTATATACCTAACCTAGCTGCATGAAATTAAAAAAAGAAGCACATTTGGCCATTAAGTATACCAAAATGGCAAAAATCATCTCAGAACAGAAAAATCGCAATCCTTCTACAGAGAGGGCAAATGTTTCTCCTAAGGTAGCAAGCGTGAAACTTATGTCGACACCCTACCACTATTGCCTCCATATCCTTCCCACATACATTGTCCAGACAAATGACACACCTACTTTTCTCATCACTGATAATATTACTCCTTATCTCCAGGTATTTCGAAATTTCTTCCTCTTGCCAAGACATCTATTCTAGCAAAGCTGGCCTCCATCAGGGCACGTCCTGTATAAAGTCGAGGCATCCGTACCACAGGTACTCTACAAAATCACTTAGGCTGATTTTTACTACCTTGCAAATGCTACTCCTTAGTTTTTTACACAAGGAATCGTATACATACAAAAGAGTTTAAAAATGAGACACCAACATAGCAAACAATAAACACAGTATCCTAGTCCAGCAAAATAGGAAAACAAAATTTACACACAAGAATCACACAGAACACCAATTGATGAGCCATATAATTGAATGCAAAGGTACATGAGGACTCGAAGCAAACACCGGAAATTTCTAATAAACTGATTTTGTGATCATAATATACTTTCAAAGACAGCCATACCTGTGCATAGGAAATTGGTAAACATACTAATGATGTAGGTGGATATCAAGGAGCCTTCATATATAAAGGACATTAAAAAACAAACTAAAAGGATAAACAGGGTTAATGTTAAGATACGACCCAATTGTACTGACCATCACAAAATATACCAGAATTCCTACACATAGTAACAAAAGCTTGGAAACTGGCAAACCATAAACACAAAGCAAAAATAAACTATAGATATAAATAAAATCAGAGAGCAGCAACATGCATGCATGCGACTTCATGACTTGCAGAAGAAGCTTTGCCTGTTCAACCTTTACCTCAAAATGCCTCACATACACCTCCATCTCTTCAATCTCGAGCTTCTTCAATGCTTCTTCGTCCTCCTTAATATTATTGGTGTCCGCCCCGCTGCCATTGGCTTTTTTGACACTGTTTTCTTTCTCAGCCCCACTGCCATTGGCTTTCTCGACCCCCACACTTTCTCCGACAGATCGTAGGCTTCCTGCTCATGCTCATGCTGGCTCGTAAAAGTTCTTCCTTTACCTTCCTGCTCCTTCCGCTTGTTGTTTGTGTACTTCTTTTTCATCTTAGACATCTTATCCCTCAGCTGCTTCCTCGCCACGTCAATGTGAAAATTTTTACTCAAAATTTTTCCGTTGAGGACGGCAATCTCGTCCTCCTCGCTCCATATCCTCTGGAACAATTGTTTCTTCTCGGATGCTTTGGGTTCAGCCTTCTTGCTGTTCTTGGACTTCTTGGTGACAGTGGGCACCGTCCCCTTAACCTCCTCGAAGGCTCTCTTCCTGGTAGATCTGGCCGGTGAAGCGGAGGCGGAGGCGGCGGCCTTGTCCTTGCCTTTCGCTTTACATTGTTTTCTGGACTTCTTGTCAGATTCAGATTCAGATTCGGATTCGGATTCGGATTCAGATCCAGAATCCTCGTCGGGTGGGGCGGGCTTTGTGGCAGAAGGTGTTTGGGGTTTCCTGGCGGAAGCCGGCGGTGCGGAAGACTTCCGGATCGGTTCGGGCTCAGATTCGATTTCCTCAGACGAGGAATCGTCGTAAAAAGAGGTTTCAGAGGAGACGAGCTCACGGGCTTTCGACATTTTCCGGTGAGAAAATTATAAGATTAGGGTTTTTCGTTGGAGGGTCGGACTGAGAGAGAGTGAGCGAGCGAGGGCTTAATAGGGTAGGAAGTTAAAAAGAGGGAAGGGGGTAGTATTATAGACCGTTGGATGTTACAACGTAATTTCAAGGGTTAGATTATATTCAAAATAAAAGCTGTTGTTTTTGGATGTAGTGAGATACCATTTTTTTTGGACATGTGATTTTCTTTTGCTTTTATTTTTAAAATTTTTTATTTTTCCTTTCAATTTCTCTTCTTCTAAATGCCAAAATAAGTTACTCCCACCCATTTTTTTTAAATGTCATTCTAGTATTTTTAACTATTTTCCAAATAAATGTCGTTTTGAATCTTTTATACATATTTTTTTATTATTACCCTCATTTAGCCAATAAATAAATTACGTCTTTTCATATTCACTATTCACTTTTTTCTCAAAACATTCATCTCTATCTTCATTAAATAAAGTTATTATTGACAAAAAAAATATTACTATTAATTAGTGTGCAACTTCTCAAAATGACATATATTAAAAATAGGAGGTAATATAAAATTTGATGAGATTACACTAACTAATTTCAAGTTGGTTAATGTTAAATGATTAGTTTGTAATAATTGAGTGTAAATGATTGTCCCACTTGGTTCATTGATAAGCAAAGTTTATATTAATAATTGAGTCTAATCAATTAGTGTATCATGTGCCTAATGCAATAATTGAGTTACAACTATTGACAATTGGCCATATTGATGTCAACTTGCTCAATAAACCTCTATAAATATCGAGTTCATTTGCTGGAGAGAGTATGTAAAAGAAGAAGACAAACATGAAAGAAAGAAAGCAGAGAAGAAAAGAAATTTGTAGAGAAAAACATAATAATAATAGCGGAAAAAATAGAGAGAAGAGTAATTTAAATCCAATTTTTAAGTGCTCCGTTTCAGTTTGCCGGATATCGTAAATATGGTGTGCTACATATTTCAAGACGATCGTCGTTGTATCTTTGGGAGCGAAACATCTGAACTGTTAGCACTACACGGGGGCGCATTCGTCTTGCAGAAAGAGTTTACTCGCTTCCGCTTAAATCTTTCTATTTTTTCAAGTTGTAATTTATTTTTAGTTCTATTGTAATTTTTTATTTTTAGATAATTTGTAAGAACTGAAAAATACTTATCAATTCGTATAAATCCTAGTGTAATTCGACACCAATAATTATCTATCAATCGCAAAACGAATATTGTTAAACCTACTTAACTGATGGCATCCACCGAAAATTGTTCATACCCTCAACAACGAATCAACACTGCGATTCATCATCATCTTGTACTTGCTGTACATATTCCTATTGTTGAGAAGCCCAATAATTCAACGGGCTTGACTTCAAGAGATGACACTAGAAGATGCGTTTTTACCAGACCACTTTGGGTTTGGTAAGGACGACCCACCGATCATTGCTGAAAATAAAACCAATGTTGAACTACGCGTTGTGTACGACGTTTGGGGCAAAGTGACTACTTTTGTAATAACTATGTCTTGAACAGATTTAGTAACGAGTTGTATAATGTGTGCAGCTCGGTTGGTTCTGCCAAAGAGCTTTGGGCTGCTTTGGAGAAGAAGTACAAGATTGAGGATGCCGGGGCGAAGAAATTCGTCTTCAGCAAATTTCTTGACTTCAAAATAGTCGACACTAAGACCGTCGTGTCTCAAGTGCAAGAGTTCCAACTCATATTCATTTTTAGTTTGAGTATCCAAATTTAAAATCTGATAATAAATTTTGTAATACATCTTTTGGGTATCTATTTAGAAAGAAAATAATAAATATAACGTACACCAATACATAAATATATGTGTCATTTTTTTTATTTTATTTTTTTAAATTCACAACATATCCATGTAAATTTATTGATTTGTTCAATAGCATGCGGTTGTGAAGGCTGTTTTTTTTTAAAAAAAATAAACTGCAACATATATGGGTAATTATTGTGTTGTCTATATTACATTTTGACCTTTTTTTTTTATTGAAAAGTTGTTGCATGATACTTTTTCATTTGCTCATGTATATGTGTGCCATACCTTTATGTCCAAAGTTCACATATTCTTATTTTAATTGATCTATACAATCTTTTAGCATTTGGTGATGTTACATAATACAATCGATGTACATAATTTTTTAAGTAGATGTAGTAAAGAATAATAAGATATGTTTTTTAAAAGATTTTCTCAAAACAGTACAATTTATTAATCTTTATCTAACAAATTTTTAAAAACATAGGCAGACAATCACTCGAACTAGTACTTGAAAGTAATTTAAATTTAGTATTTTTAAGAGGTGATTAAAAAAATGATTTTTAAAATCCATGAAAATTCATATTGTAAATCACAATGTCATAACAAAGTACATATAAATTATAAATAAAAAAAATTTATAATATATATTATTATAAGTTATAAGAAAAACAAAATAATATTGACATAATTAAAAAATAATAATTTTTTCTTCAAATTAATATATATTATACTTTTTTTCAATTAAAGCATTTGATTCCATTTTCAACTTTAGCATAACTTGTTTAGAATCGACATATTATATTGTAATAGAGTATGAATAGGAAATAAATTAAGAGAGAGAGAGAGAGTTGGAGTAGAAATATTTTGAGAGTAATATTTAAATTTGTTAAATATTCATTATCCTTACTTATAAATAAGAACATCTAAAATGGCATCTATTTTATAACGAGTGAAATAAATATATAAATTATATATTAAATTATTATATATCATAAAAAAAAATAAATAAATAAATACTAATATCAAAATTATTTTTATGCTAATCAAAATAAATGCAGTTTATGATTATTGACTTGCACGGGCCATGGCTACCTATTAATGCCCTTAAAGGTGTTTTATCAACGCGAGGTCCAAAAGATAGGAGTTCAACATGGTGATTCTATGTTTCATAATTTTAATAGTAACTAAAATTTCTCAATTTTCTAGTAATATGGAGAGTGGTTTCAAGGTCAAATTTTTCATGTTTACAGTAATTTGGAAAGAGGATTTTCGAAATAGAAAAAAAATCACATTTACAGAGTAATTTTTTAGAGATAATTTGAGACACCCAAAAAAAAAAAAAAAATCA